ACCAAAAAAAAAAAAAGAATCTTAGTAAGACATTCAAACCACTCAGACTAATCTACATATAATTAGCTCTAATTAATGTTTCAGAAAAATAAAAGCTACTTTAAAAAAATACACAGGAAAACTCACATAGCTTCCCCTTCAGATACAAGATAAAAGTAGAAAGTGACTGTCAAAACTGTCAGGTAGATGAAAATAAACACCAACAATAATTATAAAGCAGAGAAAAATTATAATACAGACTCTAATATAAACTAAATAACATTAAGTAATGGAAAAATGGAAAAAATCAGGGAGTCAACAACTCAGAATATAAATGGATCACAAACTAAAAAAAAAAGGAAACCTGAATTAACCTTGAAACAATATGCTGAGTGAAAGAAACCAGTCACAAAAGAGTGTACTTTGTTTCCATTTATATGAAATGTCCAGATTAGGCAAATGTTTAAAGAAAGAAAGTAGACTACTGGTTGTCTAGGCTGGGGAGATGGATGGAGAAAGTAACTGCTAATGGGCACAGGTTTCTTTCTTTTTTGGGGGGGGCTGATGAAAATGTTCATAATTTAGATTGTGGTGATGGTTGTAGAATTCTGTGAATATCCCAAAAACCATTGAACTATATACTTTGGTGAATTATGTGGTATATGGATTATTTCTTAATAAAGCTATAACACACAAATTCACACACATGCACATGTGCACAAAAATTTGAAATCCAATTGCCCAAACTGAGGAAAGAAATCCAAGGAAAAGATAAAACATCTAAAAACAAAGACTATTTTTAAAAATCTCAGAAGAGAATGATTTGACTAAAATATAATAAAGGAATTGGAGGAGTAAAAACAAAGAGAACTACAACAAAAAAAATAAGAGTAAAAACAGATGAGAGAAAGCCATAGATTTTGAATAGGGAGCAAAGACCTATCGTAAGTACAGGCATACTTCTTTTTATTACAGCTTATCACATTTTGCAGATATTACATTTTTTACACTTTGAAGGTTTGTGGCAAAACTGCACTGAACAAGTATATTGGCATTGTTTTTCCAACAGCTTGCTCACTTCAGGTCTCTATGTCACATTTTCATAATTCTCACATTTCAAATCTTCTCATTATCATTATATTTGTTATAGTGATCTGTAATCAGTGGCCTTCCATGTTACTATTGTAATAGTTTTGGGGTGCCACAAACCACACCCATATAAAACAGTGAACTTAATTGTTAAATGTTGTAAGTGTTCTGACTGCTCCACTGACTGGTCATTCCCTGGTCTGTTTCCCTCTTCTCAGGCCTCCCTATATCCTGAAATACAATACTATTGAAATTAGGCCAATTAATAGCCCTACAATGGCCTCTAAGTGTTCATGTGAAAGGAAGAGTCACATGTTTTTCACTGTAAATCAAAAGCTAGAAATGATTAAGCTTAGTGAGGAAGGCACTTTGAAAGCCAAGATAGGACAAAAGCTAGGTTTCTTGCGCACAACAGCCAAATTGTGAATGCAAAAGGAAAGTTCTTGAAGGAATTAAAAGTACTACTCCAGTGACCACATGAATGATAAGGAAGTGAAACAACCTTATTGCTGATATGAAGAAAGTTTGAGTGGTCTGGATAGAAGATCAAATCAGCCACAACATTCGCCTAAACCAAAGCCTAATCCAGAGCAAGACCCTAACTCTCTTCAATTCTGTGAAGGCTGAGAGGTGAGGAAGCTGCAGAAGAAAAGTTTGAGGCTAGCAGAGTTTGGTTCATGAGATTTAAGGAAAGAAGCTGCCTGCAAAACATAAAAGTGCCAGATAAAGCAGCAAATGCTCATGTAGAAGCTGCATGCAGCAAATTATCCAGAGGATCTAGCTAAGATAATTAACAAAGGTAACTACACTAAACAGATTTTCAATGTAGGTGAAACAGCCTTGTATTGGAAGAAGATGCCGCCTAAGACTGTCAGAGCTAGAGAGAAGTTAGTGCCTGGCTTCAGAGCTTCAAAGATCAGGCTCTCTTGTTAGGGGCTAATGCAGCCGGTGACTACTAAGTTGAAGCCAATGATCATTTACCATTCCAAAAATTCTTGGGCCCTTGAAAATTTCGCTGTCTCTTCTGCCTATACTCTATAAATGCAACAACAAAGCCTGATGATAGTACATATGTTTACAACATGGTTTACTAAATATTTTTAGCCCACCATTGAGACTACTGCTCAAGGAAAAAAAAAAAAGATCCTTTCAAAAAATATCACTGCTCTTGACAATGTACCTAGTCACCCAAAAGCACTGATAAAGATATACAATGAGATTAATGTTGTTTTCAAGCCTGCTAACACAGCATCTATTCTGCAGCCCATGGATCAAAGAATTACTTCAACTTTCAAGTCATTATTTAAGAAATACATTTGTAAGGCTGTAGCTGCTATAGATAGTGATACCTGTGATAGATCTAGGCAAAGTAAGTTGAAAACTTTCTGAAGAAGATTCACTCTTCTAGATGCTATTAGGAAGAGGTCAAACTATCAACATTAATGGAAGTTTGGAAGAAGGTGATTCTAACCCTCATAGATGACTTTGAGGGGTTCAGGACTTCAATGGAGGAAGTAACTGGAAATGTGGTGGAAATAACAAGAAAAGTAGAATGAGAAGTGGATCCTGAAGATGGGACTGAATTGCTGCAATCTCATGAGAAAACATGAACAGATGAGGAGTTGCTTCTTATGAGTGAGCAAAGAAAGTACCTTTTTAAGATGGAAACTACTCCTGGTATAGATGCTCTGAAGATTGTTGAAATGGCAACAAAGGATTTAGAATATTACATAAACTTAGTTCATAAAGCAGCAGCAAAGTATGAGAGGATTTGCTTCAGTTTTGCAAGAAGTTCTACTATGGGTAAAATGCTATCAAACAACATAGCATGGTAAGGAGACATCATTTGTGAAAGGAAGAGTCAGTCAATGTGGCAAAATTCACTGTTGTCTTATTTTAAGAAATTGCCACAGCCCTGCCTTCAGCAACAACCACCCCCATTAGTCAGCAGCCATCAACATCAAAGCAAGGTCCTACACCAGCAAAAAACTGAGATGATGGTTAACACAATTTTAAGCAATGAAGTATTTTTTAATTAATACTTTTATTTAATGTGCATATGTACATTTTTTAGACATAATGCTGTTACATGCTTAATAGACTACAGTGTACAGTGTACTACAGTATAAACATAACTTTTTATATGCATGGGAAACCAAAACATTTATTTGACTCACTTTATTGTTATATTTGTTTTATTGTAGTGGTCTGGGACCAAATCTTCATTATCTCTGGGGTATGCCTGTATCATTGGACTGTCTGAAGAAGAAATCACAAGTATAAAACTGAACTAATGTTTAGAATTATAATTAAAGAAAATTTTCTGGAATTCAAAGATGGCTTGAATCAATGTTTTCAAAGGGTGCACTTACATATTGTTAAAATGACTCCAAATGATGAATTTTGAAGCATAATTTTGTAACTATTAGAATTAAAAATAAAGGTAACAGGGAGATAATAGAAATCACTAATCTTCCAGATAAAAAGACCAATTGTATTCAAAGGAAAGAAAACAAGGATGTAGAATGTGAAAACCAAGTGATAGTGAAACAATATTGTCAAGAAATTTAAAAGAAGATAGAGAAGTCCAAAGATTGTATCCTCAGTAAAATCACGTTTCAAGCATCTAAGCTATAGGAAGAGTCAATCAACAGTATGCCCAGAGTAGGAAGTTCCAACTCCCCATTCCCACACAGAAATATTTTAAAAACAACTAGACTGGTTAAAATAACTACAATATCTCTGGAAATCAGTCAAAGATCTACAGCAAAATCAAGTTCTAACCTGAAAAAGCCATGTTAAAAATGGTAGGAAATTTTATGGTGTTTTTACTTGCCCTTGGCTCTCCTCCTCCCAATACATTGTGGTTTATAGGGGAAGTGGAGGCCTGTTCCTTAGTTAACTTCCTTGGACCATACAGAGAGCAGAGCAGACCTAATCGTAGCATTTTAATTTCTCTTGCAGCTTCTGGAGAGATTCGTCTCCACATCACTTAATTTACATCTCAGACTAGAAAAAGCCATGGAAGCAGTGGGCTGAACATCATTAGATGATCACAAACCTGAAGATGACTGAGACAAGAGATTACTGGTAGATGATTATAATGCAATAGTTAGGGCCCTGAGAAGCATGGCAGAGACCCAGGGAAATTAAGACAAAATTATCCAAATATACTTAGGAATTGGAAAAATGCACACACACACACACACACACACACACACAGACCCAAGGAAAAAGCAGGCCAAAAACGTACCTGACAAGACCTTCAGCCTTTATTCTTGACTGATCCCAAGAATTAAAACATGCTGTGCTAATTAGGAAAGATCTTCAACTGCATAGAGCAGGTTTACAAAGATTGGGGAGATGGCTGTGGTTTCAAGTGCCCAATTTTCGATAAAATACCACAAGGAATACAACAAAATGGGAAAATATAGCCTACTCAAAGTACAATATAAATCAGAAACTGTTCCTGAAGAAACACTATTAGATTTATTAGACAAAGATTTTAAAATAATTGTCTTAAATATGCTGAAAGAAGGGTGCCTGGGTGGCTCAATCAGTTAAGCATACAATTCTTGATTTCGGTTCCAGTCATGATATCAGGGTCATGGGCTCGAGTCCTACACCTGGCTCCACACTCAGCAGGGAGTCTGCTTCAGAATCTCTCTGTCCCTCTCCCTCTCCCCACCCCCATGCACACTCTCCCTCTCTCTCAAATAATAAATATTTTAAAAATATATGCTCAGATAACTAAAGGAAACAAAACTAACTAAAGGAAATATGGAACATGATGTATGAAGAAAGTGAAAAATATAAGCAAAGTGACAGAAAATATAAAAAAGAACCAAACAGAGATTTGCAGCAGAAAATTACAACTGAATTGAAAATTTCACTGGAGATTCAACAGCAGCCTTGAATAGGCAAAAGAAAGAATCAACACACATGAAGACAAGTCATTTGAAATTATTGTCTATAGAACAAAAAGAAAAAAGCAAGTTGAATAGAGCATAATGTGCTTATTAAACACCATCAAGTGGACCAATATGTGCAACATGGGAGTCCCAGAGGGGAAAAGAGAGAAAGGGTTATAGACCTTATTTAAAGAAATAATGGCCAAAAATTTACCAAATTTGAGGAAAGATGTTTATACTAAAAAAACACAAGAAGCTAGATTAACTCAAAGTATGCTAAACAGTAAGAGACCCTTGTCAAGATACAAGTAATCAAATTATCAAAAGACAAAAAAAAAAAAAGAGAGAGAGATAGAATCTTGAAAAGAGCAAGAGAAAACTGAGCCATCATCTATAATGGATCTTCAGTAAGATTATAAGTGGATTTCCCAGGAGGAAACTTGGAGGCTAGAAGGCAGTAAGATGGCATATTTACAATGTTGAAAGTAAACAAACAAAATTGTCAACTGAGAAGTCAATATCTAGTAAAACTATATTTCAAAAATGAGAAATTAAGACATACTAAGATAAATAAGAACTGAGGAAATTTATTACCACTAGACCTGACCTGCAAAAATATGCTAAAGTGAGTTCTTTAAGTTGAAATGAAAAAAATGCAAGATAGTAACTCAAAGCCACATGAAAATATAAATTTCTCCAATAAAGGTAAATATATGGACAAATATAAAAGCCAGTATTATCGTTTTGGTTTTTAACTCCACTTTTTATTTTTTCTATAGGATTTAAAAGATAAATGAAAGAAAATAATTATACATTTATTCTAATATAACTATAATTATAAATTATAAATATATCTAATATAAAGATGTAATTTCTGATTAAAATTTAAAAGTTAAATGGTTCAGTTTAAAATAGACTGTTATAACTTTAATGTTATATATAATTCCCATGGTAACCAAAAGAAAATATCTGTAGAATACACACAGTTGGAAATAAGAAGGGAATCAAAATGTGTCACTACAAAAATTTCAACCTAACACAAAGGAAACATAAATGGAAAGTAGGGACAGAAAAAAGAAAAGAAAAAAACATCTATTGGAAATAGAGAAAACAAATCACAGCGTGGCAATAGTAAATGTCCCCCTCTCCATAATTATAATTACATTTAAAGTAATTAAATTTAAATAGATTAATGCCTCAAACTAAAGACTGATTAGCATAATGCAAAAAAACAAAAAACAGGATGCAATTACAGAGTGTCTACAGGAGGCTCACTTTAGATCTAAGTATGAGTATAGGTTGAAAATAAAAGGATAGAAAAAGATATTCCATGCAAATAGTAATCAAATGAGATTAAGGGTGACTATATTATTATCAGGGGAAAAAAAATGAAAAATTGTTTCAAGAGAGAAAAAAAGGACATCCCATATAAAAGGCTTAATTATATAAAAGGATCAATTCATCAAGGAGATACAGAAATTATAAACATATATGCAACAAATATCAGAGCTCCTAAATAAATGAAAACACTGACAGAACTGAAGGAAGATATATAAAGTTCTACAGTAATAAAAGAATTTAACACCTCAGTTTCAATAGTAGATGGAACAGCTAGACAAAAGATCAATAGGGAAATAGAGGACTTAACACTATAGACCAACTGCACATACATACAAATATTTACAGAACACTCACGCAACAAAAAAAAAACTACACATTCTTCTCAAGTGTACATGGATCACTGTCTGAGATAGACCATATGTTAAGCCATTAAACAAGTCTTAATAATTTATAAAAGACTAAAATCAAACAAAGTATCTTTTCTGATCACAATGGGAGGAAACCAGAAATAAACAGCAGATGGGAAAACTGGAAAATCCACAAATATGTAGAAATTTTAAAACTTACTCTTAAACAGATAATGGATCAAAGAAGAAATCACAAGGGAAACTTAAAAATGCCTTGAGAGAAATGAAAATGAAAACAACATGCAAAAATGTATGGGATGCAGCAAAAACAGGGAGAGAAATTTATAGATATAAATGCTTATATTTAAAAAAAAGGATCACAAATCAACATTTTTTATATCTGAATTAACCACAAAAGAAGAGTATCCTAAACTAAAAGCTACCAAAGGGAAGGAAATAATAAAAAAATTTAAAAAGATCAATAAAATAGAGAACAGAAAAATAATAAGACCAAGATTTGATTCTACATAAAGATCAACAGAATTGACAGATTTTAAACTACACTGATTAAAGAATAAAAGAAAGAAGATTAGAATAACTAAGTTCAGAAATGAAAGAGAACACTACTACCAACTTTATAGAAATCAAAAGGACTATGCAAGAATACTATGAACAATTGTATATCAAACTGTATAACCTAGATGAAATAGACAAATTCCTAGAATAACCTACCAATACTAAATCATGAATAGAAAATCTGTATTCATCTGTAACTAGTAAGTATATTGAATTAGTCATCAAAAATTTCCCTACAAAGAAAAACCCAGGACCACATAGCTTCACTGGCAAATTCTACTATATGCTTAAACAATGAACACCAATTATTCTCAAACTCTTGCAAAAAAAATTGAAGAGGAGGCAATATTTCCAAACTTATTTTATGAGGCCAGGATTACTCAGATGCCAAAGGCAGATAAAGACATTGCAAACAAGGAAAGCTATAGGCCAATATCTCTAATGAATGTTAACATAAAAATTCTCAACAGAATACCAGCAAACAGAATTTAACAGCTTATTAAAAGGATTATACAACATAACCAAACAGGGTTTATTCCTGGAATGCAAGTATGGTTCAACATATAAAAATCAATTATGAAATACACCATATTAACAAAACAAAGAAATAAAAAACATGTAATCTGGAAAATAGCATTTGTTGAAATTTAACACCCTTTCAGGATAAAAACATTCAGCAAATGAAAGAAAGAAGAAAACTATAACACAATAAAAGGTTGTGCATGAAAAACCCAAACTAACATCATATGTTATGGTGAAAGACTAAAAGACTTACCTCTGAGATCAGGAACAAGACAAAGATGACTGTTATCACCACTTCTATTCAACATATAACTAGAAGTCCTAATCAATGCAACTCAGTAAAAATAAATAACTCCAAAAGAAAGAATGAGTGAGTGAGAGAGAGAGAGAGAGAAAAGAATAGGAGAAAGAAAGAAGTGGCATCTAAATTGGAAGTAAAGAAAATAAATTATATCTGTTCATAGGCAACATGATTTTATGTGTAGAAAATCCTAATGGTTTCATACACACACAAACAGATCTAAAAAGTGAGCTCAGCAAAGTTGCAGGATACAAAATCAACACTCAAAATCAGTTGTAATTTTA